TTAGTTTGCCCAATTCACCTTCTTATTACAGGATCTTTTCTTCACACATTTTACTTTGTGAACCTTCTTTTCTGGGTAATGTATCACATAATCTGTCTCAGATGAATCGGATGAATCTGTTAGTTCTTCGCCGAGTTTTAAAGCAGTCTGCTCTTCTACATAATTCCCTATCCAGTCTATGGTTCGTTCTAGCTTTTTAACCTTCTTCTTCTTAAGCTCAGATTGACAAGAGTGGGAAAATAATATATCTAAACGATTATCTATATCACCCAGCCTTTCCTCTAGCGCTTTGATTTTTACAGAAACTAATGCACTTTCGTGTGATCTCATTTTAGTTTTATTTTTATAACTGTATAATTATTGTACCATAAAAAATATATATAATATCTATGTTTACAATAAACTAGACAAATACTGTACTTATCAGTCAATTATCAGCGTATCTGCATCATCAAAAAAGAACTTGGTTATAAATTGTTTTACTCCAAATCCAAAAGGTCTATTATATTTTTCTGGAAACATTTTTAAAGATATTCCTTCTTCTGTATATTTCTTCTCAAGGATATCTATTAATTCTGACTCTTCTTATTTATCAACATCCCACCATGAGACAATATTTTTAGCTATCTGCTGAATATTATATTTGACTATTTCTTTTTCCTGTCCTTCGAGCATTCCATTATGAAGCATAAATCTTTCGATCTCTACCTGTTTTTTAGCTATTTCGATTTCCCTTTCAATAATTTCCTCTGTTTCTGCTTTCCAATATTCTAAATCATAGGGATATTCTGACATCTCTTCTTCTTCTTCAAATCCTAATTTATGATATTCTAATACTTGTATCTTCCATCTTCGCCGAAACTCATGCTGAATTTCTTTATACCAAGTGCTATTTATCCAGCAGAGCTTATCAAGAACTTCTAATGGAAACTTTTAAATGATTATAGCAATTGTATCTGGTATTTCGAGTGGGTTGTATAAATACATTTTATATAATTTTCAGTATATTATTGTTAGAAAAAAGTTCAAATTAAAAATAATTCTCGGAATTAAAAAAAAAAAACGTTTATCCTATCTTCTCTGATACTAGTTCTGCTCATTATCAGGCTATTCTTCTTTAACTATGAGTTTTATTTTGGGTATAAGTTTTGGAAATCAGATATTATATTATTTCTAATCCGTAAACACCCCCCTATTTCTATCATTCCTAAACTAGGAACCAGTCCTGGAATTTTTAAAAATGCTTTTAGACTTATTCGCCTAGAACCTCTTATCGTGAGTCTTTTTAAATTGAGGCACTCGGCTAGAAGCACTTCTAGATTTTTATTGTTAAGTATACATGATCCACTATTTTCAAAACTTAGCCATTATAAATTGGGGTAAGCCTTACACACTTCAGAAATGTACACATCTGGCTCTATAATTATTTCTCTAATAAATTTTAGTCCTAGTACTTGTTCACATGCATCTGACTTCGTATTTTTTATTATTGCCTTAGTAAACTTGATTCCGGATATAGCCGTTAGAACTATTCTTTGCCATAATACTCTTCTAGCAA